GATATGTTTCTACTGGACTGCCCTACCTATGAGGACTATTTGGACACATTCATCACACGTCATGATATACATTTTCTACGCAACATACGCTTCTGTCGTATGCTCGTCGAACTTGGCTATCGTTCGGCGTCTGAAATCTACACACCCGAACAGTATGAGAAACGCAAGGCAGCTGTACAGGAGTCATTATGGCCGACGAAAAAATCGGCAATGTTATTCAGTGAGAATATGAATTCCACAGACCCCGTGCTGCTTGAATTGGCACGACGTGAACAGCCGAATACGCAGAAGATCATATCGGTAGCAGTACCTTGTCATATTATTTTAATTTTTAACGCAAAGCATATTGTCTCTTTCAGACCATCATATTTGTTAAACATCGGCTAAAGTCCGGTTTCGAGATTTCCGGTTATATCGATTTCGAACACAGCCTAAAGCAGGCAAATTTAATGGTAGAGGGTTGCACCGATTGGTTGGGCGTATTCCAGGAGCGTGTACTATTACGTCCGAAACCGACGGATCTCAGTTTTTACGATTGGCACAAGGGTACGGTGCATTACAATCATTCCGAAAACTATGTGGTTCTACATGATGTCGAGAATGGTCTGATATTTATGCATCGCGGTGATCACAAGAAGATCTGTGTCGATATTTTACGCGAAATGTATACAAATAATTGCACACGCGAAATGCATTTCTCCGAAAAATATGGACATGTCATATTCTACGATCACATAATTCGAAAGAAGATATAGTTGTCTAGCATGTACATATATCTTACGTTGCCTCTTTTTTTGAATGTTATTATATGTATTTAATAACTGTTCTCGCGCRTTTATTGTTTTTGCTGTTGTAAGAATAATTTGACTTGGATTTTTTTGTGTATTCCCCTATCGACCTGCGAGGTCCTTCGAACACCTATGCCAGAAAATCGAAAAATAAATACAATTAATTGGTCAAGCATGGTCTATTTTGTTAAAAATAAGTGTTAGCAAAAATACCTTTAACTGAAAAGACAGCATCGTCTTAAATCAATTAATAAATTCAGTTTCCTCTATGGCACAGACTG